GTTCAAAGTAGGAATTGACATAAAACTGTAAAAATTGAGTGCAAGAGTAACTGCAATGCGGAAATAATACACTGTGCAATGTTGGAAATAAAAACTACTCGAGAAAACTTTCACTTGTCCTGTAAACGAGTAATACAATCTTGGATGCACATGTAAAAAAAAGAAAAAAGTGACATACAGACGAATTAAGTACCTTCTCTTTTGGGAAGTCGGTCAAAAAGAACTTGAAGTTGCAATGATAAAGTAATCTTTATAAAACGCAACATCATAGTACAACTTGAAAAGTAAATAGTTATAATAAAATTGGATCATTTAGTGTAAAATACATAACATTAATATTCTTAAAATATTAAGTAACTTCGATAAATGCTCATGTTATGCGCAATAAGTTATAGGGTACGTAAGTTAAGGTTATTGTCGATTTAACCAAACATGAAACAGAAATCCCGAGGCGTCGCGGAGTAAGCAATAAGAGGCGGGAAGTGCCGGCCGGCTTCACTGATGTTCAACACGATAATGCCGCGATATGTATGCGGATCGCGGTATCCTTTATTATTATTTCCACATATTGACTTTCCGTTGTCTACCCCCCACCGGGGTGGGGGTGTGAAGGTGCGGGGGTTGGGGTGAAGATGTAGTCGCGAAGTACACATGTAGCGGTCGCAATCGATCGCATAATGCGTTTAGGATGGGCTGCCGGCTGGCTACAGGAAACACCGCGCCTTACCGACTTGCTCTCTGTTTCCGGTATTATTTGGCAATATTACAATAACATTGACTTAATGACACTAAATAATAACGTAATTGTTATCTATATTTTTACATATTCATGTCCTTCCATTTCTTTAAAGTATTTTTATTAAATGTACAGTTTAAAATTAGATTTAAAATGTAATTTATGTTTGGTACAATAAATCAAGTTTGGATACGAATTAACAAGTCTGTAAATAATTCGATTTCGCTAATTGTTTTGGGTATTAACATTTGTCACGGACTCGTTGATTTAGTGGCGCAGTGTCTGATTTTGTAAATTATAGAAATACTTGCTCGTTCATTTAGAATAACATTTTAAAAGATTCGTTCTTGAAATAGACACAAACAACCATAATACATCTACACTTTCAAATTTATGGAATTACTAGCTTTCGCCAGCTACTCCGTTTCCGTGGATTTAAAAAAAGTAAGTACCCTATGCGTTTTCCACTCTATGTACATCTTTGGCAAATTTTAGTGAGATTCGTTCAGTCCATGCGTTTATGCTACAAACTCTAACAAACCATTTATCCATCTAAACTTTTGCATTTATATTAGCTAACATAAATTAATATTATTAATTAATAAATTTCTATGAGAAATAGAATTAACTCAAGTTTACAATGTTACTGTAAGCTAGTTCTTCAAACAATGGAGCTGGTAACGGACAGTTCTCACAAAGTTTTCCTGAACTCAGCAGACACTTGCAAAGAACGATAGTGTGATATCACCAAAGAGAAGCGCCTGTAATGTCTTTTATAGTACTCTTGAACGACAGTATTGCGACGTGCCTTTTGTATTTATAATGTTGTAAAACATTACAAGTGTGAAACATTTTTATCAGTATGGGATTAAATTACGTGAAAGGTCTAAAATTTATTTTTGATATTTTATTGACACTCAACTAAAATGTATGTAACGGTACTCATAGACGATAATGGTAGCTAAGTGAGTTCTTTAGTGTAGACTTACACTGTTATAGTGAATGAATTTGTAAGTGTATCTTCATTTAAGCAGTTGAACATAGAGTAGTGAACACAGCCGCACACAACACACATACAAAAATGTGCAGAGTAAAAGGTTAGCTTGTGATCCATTTATTATCCATTTTGTCGTGTGTATCTCGGGTCCATTAATAACGCGGACTTATCCCGGCCTAATCTGGCGCTCATTCCCGCTTTCCGCGGCCGATTCTTTTCCGCGCGCGAAAAAAACCCCGCCATTTTCAATTTGCTCCTGTCCGCGCAGATTTATTGCGTCCACGGATTAACCGCAACATTATACAAATAAATAAAGTCCAAATGTTTGTTTGTGGTTATTGATTATATCTCTTTGACGTTTAAATTGTTTTAATGACGTTAAAAAATACCCTTAAATAATTGCATTATAATTATAAGTGAAAGAGTATATTGTCTTAATTCGAGTCAAAGTAAGTGTATTTATAAAAGACGACCTGTTGCCCGCGACTTCGTCCGCCCGGTATCAGAAAACAAACAAACTATATAAATTACAAAAAGCTACGTATCCCTCGGGAACCGGACATTTCTCTGGGATGAAACTTATCTCATGTGAACTCCAGACTTTGTTTTATATCTGTGCCAAATTTCAATAAGATATGTTAAACCGTTGCAGAATGATCGAGTGAACATTAAAAAACAATATTAATGAATCCCACGGGAACCGTAACTATTCCCGGGATAAAAAGTAGCCTATGTGTTCTTCCAGACTATGCTCTAAACCTGTGCCAAATTTCATGGAGATCCGTTCAGTCGTTTAGGCTACAAACGCTAACAAACATCCATCCATTCATCCATCCATCTAAACTTTCACATTTATAATATTAGTAAGATTGTTACATATTTATATATGTAACTCTCTTAAATGATAAGGTCACGCTTGGAATTTGAATTTAATTTAAATGTTAACGAAAACTGAATGTATTTTTTTATGACAAAGATAGAATGTAAAATGTAAATGGACTTGTGGCGATCGTATCCGTTTACAATAATGTGAATTTTCAGTATCAGTTGAATTAAATCTCACACAAAGGAATTAGATTAGTGTGAGCACCCTCAGCGTTGGTTACAATTTATTTCTAGTGCTAAATAAAAGAGTCACGGCGGTTTGCGCTGGCGATGGCGGCGATAGCTTTTATGGGATGTTTTCAATTTGTTCCGGCGATACGCTATCGGGCGGGGGTACGATGGAGGGGGGGCCTTCACCTATCGATAGATTACAGCGATCGCAGTGTTTGTTCCCTGATCGCTTGCACTTCCACCACCGCAATATGATCTTGAAGTTTGTTCATTTAACATGATATTTGAAGACAGAAGATAAAATTCTCTCCGTGGTTTATATTATACATTTTAGTGTTTTAAAGGTATTTTTAAACCTAAACATGGCGTTGTACTTTTCACAGAACTATACTAATACTATAAAGGGGAAAGATTTGTATTTTTGTTTGTATTCGATTTACGTAAAAATTACTTGGCCGAATTTAAAAATTCTTTCACCATTAGTAAGGTAATTTATCTATGAGTAACACAAGCTATCGATTTCATTATTTTTTAATTTCACGCGGACGAAGTCGCTAGAAACAGCTAGTTTAACATAAACATAGAATTTGATCAGATATCAGAGGTGGATTTATTTGAACACGCGTACAGCATTACCGGAATGTATCGGAGATACCAGTAGCCGACATGACGGCGCAGTTCTCGCCGCTAGGGGCCATCGGCTTAGCTTTCATTTAAATTTTAATGAAGGCATTATCTATTGTTTTGACTACGCAATACTGCTACGAGTTATAACGCTCTACGAGTTGTAGCTACGCGCTACGAGTTATACGCAGCCTTATCTGTGAGGTTTACATGAAGTTTATGTTGGTGTAAAGTTTATGTAAATGCGTTGTTACGATGTACTACAGTTAGTTGTGAGCTGATCACGTGATTGCATTACAGAATATTAACTCATTATGATGGAATGTAGCGCAGGCGGATGTTGCCTGACATGCGCATATTTAGTATAAATGTTTACAATGAAATACATAGTTCATTGTTGAATTGTGTTAATTTTATAAAACTCTATTATTGAATGAGATTATAATGTATTACAACTCTACTGAATTTCAGTAATAAATCTATCAAAATCATTCAATTTAAATCAAATTTCCTCTGTTGTTCTTTAAAATGAATTGTTCTGACATACACTTTAACATATAAATCAAGTGGTATGTAACATTTCATCGGACGAGTACAAACCCCTCGGCGGGAAAAAGCCGATGCTTTAGTTAATACCGACTTGATGAGCGGCTTACTGTCGCCCCCGCCCCCGCACCTCGCAGCACGCCCCCTCCGCTACGCCCTCGCGCATTTTAAACTTTTCATCCATCAGATAAGAATATCAACATAGGGGAACTTACAAGGTACTTAAAGATATCTCAAACATAAGCACTTTAGATATAATACAACAAAATTTTACTTTGAAAGTAACTGCGTTCTGTTTGGGTTCTTAATTCGCAACTATTCGAATATTTATTACGCTATTGTACGATGAAATTGACTTTTTTATTTAAGAAAAAAGGTAAAAAAGTTCATCATTCAAAAAGCACTTTAGGACGCAAATCAAACTTCCGAAAAAAGTAGGCAATTTAATGAAAAGTAAAAATTAATCAGCGCCACTGGCTGGATGCATTAATCACGAGTTGAAATGACGAAAATTAAAAAAAAAACTTCGCCGCCGCGTCGCAGGCGCGCTATCAAAAATCTACGTAATTTCATTAAGTTGCCAGAAGTAAAAAA